GACCCACAGCAGCCCAACAAATATCAGGTGGTCTGTGGTTTTCTGAAGCCTGCTGCCAGTTAAGACAAATACACTGCTTCGAGCAGCTCTAACCCAAGTTGGATTTTAGAGGACACAATGGCACAGGCTGCTTTCTTACAGAATCATAGAATCATAGAATCGTTTAGGTTGGAAAAGACCTTTAAGATCATCCAGTCCAACCATTAACCTACACTACCAAGTCTGCTCTAAACCAATCAAGGGTAGACTAGACTAAAAAGGGCAGACTAGACTAAATCAAGGGTAGACTTGGCGCCTTCCACTCTACACCCAGCTCAAGATGCTGGCCAGCTCTTTGAGCCCTGAGTAGTCTCTTCCCTTTGCACAGGAAGAGGAGTCTAGAAACTTGCAAACCACTGAGCACAGCAATCTGCTGCTGTGGCTACCACATCATGTGAAGAGAAAGGGATGTTAGAAGCATTTTTGAGGCAAATATATTTATTCCCCTTTTAGAAGTGTATTTTTTCCTTTGTGGAAAGGTGCGAACAAGACTTCAGTTGTAAATCAAGCATTTTATTCTCTTGGAGGGCATGGTGGCAAGGATTTATTTATTATTAAAATGGCTGCATAGGTTATTTGCAGCACTGCCAGCTCGATTGATATCTGGGTTTCTGCTCCCTGCCCCCTCCCCAAATTTTGGTACTTTGAGAAGAGTTCTGGAATGACAGTCACACCTCTGCAGACCAGAGCTTGAAAATAACACTAAGGGCTTTCTGGCACCTTTATTTCCAAGATGTTCTTACAGGTTATTATCCTAATAAAGGGGCAATCCATACATCTCTAATCAGAACTTTAGTGAGACATCAGATATGTTCATATACTCGCATGTCTCTATGGCGGCCCTAGAAGGTAGCCCATAGCTCTCCTGTCACCACAGCTTAGCAGTTCAGACCGTATCAGCAAGCACGTTTTAGTCAAAAGCACTATCAAAACCAGCTTGCCAGGAGCTAATTGAATAATGGAAAGTAATTTTCCCCATTTCTATGAAAAAAAAGGCCTCTATTTGGGCAGCATTATTTGCAGCCAATTATTCTGCTATTTCCAGTTGTGCTCCAGGGAGCTGTATTACTTCTCCAAAGAGCTCAGCAGCTGTTCACTAGGTTAGTCTCCCAGTTCTTTTGCTTGCATAACATTCACCCTGCAGTGCCAGATGACAGGAGCTGTAAGTGCTATCTGTTGCTCTGTATTATCCCTCATAGGGTTTTGGAACCCATCCCAACCACGGAAAGAGCAGAGAGCTTTTCATTTTTGGATTAGGATATAAAATGCCACAGTTTATCCTAACAAAGGAAGGGTGGAGAGGAGTAACTGGCATACAGAGAATGCCCCCTTAGGGACAAAGCTTGAGTATCACTGGTGCACTGGGACACTGCCATATAGCAACATTTGAAAGCTGAAAGCCATCGCTTCATAAATGTATTTTGGCAAGAACCTGTGCTATTCTCTTTGATAACACATTTTTCCTTTGTAATGACTCCATGATTTGTCTCTAAGATGACCACATCCCTGACTTGCCTGCTTTGGGATTACTAGCAGAAGGATCACAAATTAGGGTAGTGTCACATCTGTGCACCATTTAAGGTCACTGAACACTGGCACACTGGGATTTGATTGCCCGCACACACCTGGCTCAGCATCACTCGCATGATCTGTCCTCCCAGGGCTATGTCCGACTCCATGCCCCTCCGCACCTTGCACATTCACACACATGATCTTGCAACTACAAACCAGACCTGCAAAAAGGCTCAAAGCACAGAGGTAGAGCACAGCTCCACCTACATCCTACAGTAGTGCCCTCAGTCATGCCACTTCTTGGGGAATAAGTTGGTGAGAAACCTCATCTCTGAGGACAACAGAGATGGTGGCTTTCACAGGAATTAGCTAGACCACCACACCCAGTTTTTCAATTTACAGTCATATCTGCCTACATATTTTAATATAAACTTGAAGGAGAGACAAAATGCCACCCTATCACCATTGCAGCAAGGAACTTAACTCTTGACTTCAGATTTTTCAGGCTCGCCATAGCAAGCCTGCTAAGTTTTATGTATTTTCTGTAATTAAAAGATAGCCCTGAAACTGCAGTTTGAACCCTTCAAGTCAGAATGCATTTGCTCCTTCTTTAGTCATTACCCCAGTCATAGAGCTTTAGCATAGCAGACAAAACACTTTTGTGAATACCACATTTGCTAGCAGAGGCAAGTTTAGTTCAGCAAGCTCTAAACCACAGCAACAGCAGAGCTCAGCCTATTCCATTACAGCATCATCAAGTCAACTTACTTTAACTGAAGCCAGTTGAGAGCCTCTTCATCCTAAAGAGGATAAATACAAGCCTTTTACTTCAGCTCAGCAGTATTCACAGAACAGCCCAACACCTAACAACAAGTAATGAATCCCACCAGGTCTGGGCCCAATTTCCTTACATACTCATTCAACCCTACCACAGCTAGTAATCACAGTTTTGGGGGCAGGGCGGGGTGGTGCTGGACTGGGCTTGGCTGTACTTTGCTTTTCTCTTCTCCCATGCTCCAGCATGGTCCTGGTAAACAGGGCTTGGTCTGTATCTGCTGAAGAGTCTACATGCTGCTAATGAAAGCCTACATTAGATCTTTCTGCTGCTACAGCTTTGACCCTAAAGAGCCCTCTTTAAGAGTTAGAAATGTGGAAGTTAGATTGGAAGTGCTGGGCTGCAATGCTACAACGCTCTGGGATGCCTGGTTCCCCATGCAGAGCATGTGGGAAGGCAAAGTGTCCAAGAACAGGCTTTTACAACAGGTGCCAGGCTACCTGCCTTGGCCAAGAGGAAACGCTGAAGACGACTATTTCCTAAATCCTGCTCCTCTTTGAGGTTTTCTGAGGTGGCTGTTAGGAATACTCCTCTTATGTGGTCACCGTCTTGAACCCAGTCTTTAAATAACCTTCTAAAACAGCTGGAGGAGGATTTTCATTCGCTAGCTTCGTGTGTGCAAGGTGCAAGAGGTTAGTTCATGGCCACCATACCAGGGGATTCAAGGTCTCCTATCATAAGGGATGCAAAAGCTCAGGTGGGAAGGGTCCTAGCAGTCCCTTTCTCTTCTTAGTTGAAACTGTGCTTAAATATTCCCGAATAATTAAGTAAGCTTATGACTCTTATTACATTTAATGTTCCCTAAGGGAAGAAAGTGTGCAGAGGTCTTGATCCACTGTATCTTTTAAATTTTCTTGTAGGGGGTTTAATCTATCTTCTCCTGCCCTGCACTATGTTCTTAGAACAAGGCTGTGGATCATCTTTTTCCCCAACCTAAATAATAATTCAGGAAACAGAACAGCGTTTGTCAGAAGGAACAAGGGTAGAGATTGAGGGTGCCAGCTTGGGGGCTTACACCACTTTAGGACACTTTTGGAAATCACCGATCCTGTCGCATGCTGGATCCAAGTTCAGTGAGACCTCTTCTCTCTCCTGTGGTTTGCATAGGGCCAAATGTGGCAACAAATGTGCCTTGCGACTGCGGGCTCATCATGCCCCACAGCTAGAAGAGCGTGGGCAAACACCCACTGGTAGCACCAACCGTTTGGTAGGAACCTGATAAACCTCGGATGTGAGCAAGCTGCCAACACACTCAGCCCCATCAGGAGTGAAGTACTCCTGAGTGTGCCCCAGTGCACAACTGCGGGATTGTACAGGCGTCGCCATGGCCAGGAAGCAGCCAAACGGGTGACCTGATAATCTGCAACTTTTAGTTGCACATCCAGAGGGCTAGTTAGGTGCCTGCATCCTAAGCCACTTTGTTTATTGGACCTCAAAGATCCCCCCGGGCAGCAGAGTTGCTCTCGCTGAGAGTATGTTCTGCTGCATCTGCATTTCTGCCAGTTGGTGTTAAGTACCTCCGCATTGACTCTGCCCCACATCAGATGGTCCCATCCAGGGGTTCTCCCTGGCTGTTAGGTTTGAGACTGTTGGGACATAGAAGCAATTATTTATCTCTGTGTAAAAGAAACTTTTAAGTATGACCTAACTTAAGTGCCTACCTGTAGGGGAGGCTGCACAGCTGAACATGCCAAACACAAAGAAGCAAAACAGACACCAAACCTCTGCCTCATTTATGGGGCTCCTTCCTCAGCTGGCTTCTGAGGTTCTCAAATTTCTGTGTTATGGGGAGGCTGCACATCTATCTGGAAGCTGAAATCTCCAGCAGTGAAGCAGGGCAGTAGCAAAAGATTGAGCTCACACTTTCCAAAAGATCAAGTAGTGAGGCCAAAAGAAATTATCAGAAGTGGGGTCTTGAGCCTAGAAACATAATAAAAACCTGGGGAAGAGTTTGGCGAATGTTGGGGTCAGCAGTGCAAGTGCAGAGCAAAGCTGGAGAGTCCTCAAGCACCTGAGCTAAGCACCAGGCACTGTCAGACCAAACTGATGACCAGCCTCTGCTGAGCAGCTCAGGAGTTACCGACTGACTCTCCTCCAGAGGAGATGCCTGGAATGGAGTAACCTGAAGTAGCTCTTTCTTCACTGTAAAACCATCTGATCAAAAATCTATCAGGCATCAGGATTTCTGCTTCACCTTAGTATCCTCTGTAAAACCACTGGCACAGCTCTTACAACACCATGTTACTGCAAGGGAGAATCAAAGAGCTGGGCGTGCTCAGGACGAGAAGAGCTGCAAGGTTCACGCTCCCCAAGTATCAATAGATAATTGGCAGCATATGCATTATTGTATTTCTTTAAGAATATATATATATAATGAGGATTTCCACCAAGAGGCCATATTTTTATTTATTTAGGAAACAAATAAGTTGAATTCTACTGGAATCTCTCCATACAATGGATGCTCCAGGAGTCAACAGTGCACAGATTTCTTGGAAGTGCCATGTTCGGAGCAAATTAACAGTGTCTTAAAAGCCAGTTTCAAGACAACTCTCTCACAGACACAAGGTATTGGCTGTGAAACAGAACATGAGACATGAGGCATCGTGTGACATCAGGTAGCATATTTCTGTTTATTTGCCTTTCTTCAAGAACTCTAGCTCACCATTAGGCAAAGGAGTGCATACAAGATGTACAAGAAAAAGATTAAAAGAGACTTCTTTATCACTCTATTCTGTGGCATGAAGGCCCACAGCCTCTGGGGTTTTTTGGTTTTTTAAAAGGCTATGTTTTTGCTCTGGCTGAAGTGTTACAGTTCAGAGAACAACCTGCCATCTACAGGAAATCTCTTGAGAAAATTAAAAGTGAACACAGCTATTTTCTAGGCTGTTTTACTGAACAAACACTGCCAGCTGCACTAATAGCATTTTACCAGACACTTGTCAGCTTATGAACCCCTAAGTTTATAAAGACAATAGGAAATCTGACTGCAGAGTGACAGGGACAGGGAGAAGTGGTTGGAGTTTCTTCCCCCTCACAGCAGATTCCAGCCTTCTGTAAACTTGTGTTTGTGTACTTCAGTACAGCTGTGATGACCTACAACAGAGGTTCTGCCCTAGACACATATAGCTTGCCCATAGTCCGACTGAATGCATTAGTAACTTTCATATATAATATTAAAACCCAAGGTTTGTCTCTCAATGTCCTTCACATGATGCTCTGTCTGTTCACGTCCACATTGTATGCTGATGAATTGGAACAGCCTCGGCCAAAATCAATAAAAATGCCTTCAGAATCAGAGTCGATCGACTCCAAAATCTGATCCACTATGTTCTCAGGGCTGGAAGAGGGAACTGGAATCAAGGAAGAGTCCCTCTCCAGCTCAAAAGACCTGTGCGGGTCGTCCATCGAGTGGAAGAGTCCTTTCTGTTGCTCAGCTGTGCCAAGTTTGCTAGAGCACTGCACTGACCCAGTGTTGGGCCTCTCCTGGTCTCCTGACAGCGAGCTTTTTGTGGCCGTCATGGAGCTCTTGGAACCGTTGTCCATGATGGTGGTGAGGTTAGAGTACCCCTGTAGCTCCAGGCAGGAAGTCATTTCCGAAACAGAGTGCCTTCGGATGCCCGTTCCATTGGCAGCCATGCCCTCGGTTTCATACTCGGCCACTGGTGTCAGCAGTGGATTGTTGTAGCTTTTTGATCGCACCACGGGGTTCTTGGCAAGGATGTCACCCGATTTTGAACGCCTGAAGAACCGCTTCTCTGTAAACAGAGAAAGATCCAGAGTAATATCTACAAAATCTCCCATTTTTGTGGTACTAATAATTACAAGTGTTCAAAAGAAAAGTCAAGGCCTGAATATTCATGAGCTTTTCTTGAATGACAAAAACATTTTTAAAAGAATACATTTTGCTGGTTTTATAGATCCATGGGATTCAGATTTCCTAGATTTCTTTAGCATACTTTAGACCTCAAACATATCTTGACAAATGACAGCTGAGATGGCCTTCTATTCATACAACTTCAGCAGAGGGAGTAAACCAGTAAATATTGTGGGAGACCTGATACACAACTGCAATACTTTCTTTAGACAAGAACAGAAAGTGCAATTCTGTTCTTGTTCAGGCTATAAAGGTCATCACTAATTTCTAGTAGTTGAAATCTAACTTTTCTACCCACCCTGGGAAAATCACGTCTCTTCAAATTTGGGGATTAAGACAGGCAGTCTTACTTAATAATTCTGGAAAAACTTAGATTCAAAGCATTGTTCGGAGACCACACAAGGAGAGCACACTGTCGGTGTCTGGAAATGTTAACTGGAGGGCAGCGCCCCCAGCAACCTTTTTGGGGAACAAACCTGCACTTGATCCCGCAGTGATTGTATAAATGATGATGTTAACCAAGCAGGCTCTTTCCAAAGAATGAGCAGCAGGTGGCAGCAAGTCAGCACGGAGATCTGCCACCACTGGTTTAGGGCTGGAGTGCTCTCTGGCAGCTAGACCAAAATGATCATCATGAAAACTTTTTGCAGACTTCATTATACAGACTCACTTGTGCAAAAAAAAAAAAAAAAAAAAAAAAAAAAAAAAAAAAAAAAAAAAGTGGTGTGAATAATAGGTCTCGCTTTTGAAGCTTTCTCCCTGCTACTCTCGCTTTGCCATCCCCATGAAAGGGGCGCGGCTGGAGAAGGCAAATGAGTTACACTCTGGAAGTCAACCGCAGCCACTGCATATAAATTGTTGGCTTTAAATCAGGATGTTGGTATATGTTCCCCTCCAAACGACGCAATTTCCTTTAGAAATACCAGTCTCTTCTAAAACTATACTTATGTATAATTATGCGCTTACCTGGACACAAATTCCAATCATATGCTATACTACTAAAAAAGCCAGTTTCTGTACTTAAGATTGTATTTTGCAGTTGTTTCTGCCTCAGCAGTGAAATCAGCTGAGCCAAGTTCACTTTTGGACTTCTTCCTTGTTAGGAGTTTGACCTGGCAAACAGAATAGGTTCCCTGGGGCTGCCCTGCCACAAGAACTGTGGCTTTTTGGTCACACCAAGGCTTGGCTGGAGGGGAAGGCTGGGCGTGCTGGCCAGACAGAGAAGAAAAGGGGTCAGAGGCCTCACCAGTCCCAAGGAAAATATGTCACAGCTTTAAATCATACTACCAAAATAGCTGGATAGAACTAGATGCATTAGTTTAAAAGCAGCAGAGACTTATGCACTCAACTCCCTTGGATCCCAGGTTCACTGACTCTAGTAAGACCTATTCAGGGATACTGCCACAGACCACAGCAAGGGGAAGTGCTCAGTCTACCAAAACCTTCATATCTTCTGCAATCATATAATACAACATTTATTTTCTAACAACCCACTTCACTGGAGTTTTATTCTCTTTGGGTGCATTTTTTTTCTGTCCTGACATACAGAAGCTTGCATTCAGGAAATGTCAGTTTGGGGCTCCATTTAAATGCTTGTGGCCTTTTAACGGCAGGCAACGAATAAAGTAGTAATCCTGAACCATTTTCCATAAATAACTGGCCTCCACTTATTCACATAAAACTGGTTTGTTTCTTGAACACGTACGGCAATAAAACCATTTTTCTGTTCAGCTTCTGGGGAAAATCCACTACCTTATTGACCATTTCTGTATTAAATTGACCGCACAGAAAACACACAACTGAACTTATTTTCCCCTCTATTTTCTCTGTTGAAGCAAGCCATCACAGTATTTACATTAAAATACTCAGGTACTACCACGCTGCCTTTTTGATTTACGCTGGTAGTATTCCCCTGGCATTTTCAACAGACTGAATTATTATGTAGGATATTCAAAAGACCTTCATCTTGGCCAAATCTTGCCTTCACAGAAGTCACTGAATGCTTCAGAACTCAAAGAATCATAGAAAATAAGCTGGAAGGGACTTGAGAAGGTCACTCACTCGGCCTCTCTCACCAGGCAGGACCACATTTACCCACCTTGCTCCTTTTGGATGCCTATGTACATGACATGTATATAGCAGTGAAAATTCAACAGCCTCCAGAGGCAGTTTATGTACCATTAGAGACTCTTACTTCCACGTAATCTGAATTTGCCCCGCTATGTGTGGTCCACTCTATTTTTCTTATCTCCAGTGGGATGGAGAACAGCTTATTACCTTCTACTCTGCAGTAAGCTTTTACATGTTTGAAGGCTTATCACTTAGTCTTCTCTAAGACAAATTCCTACTCTCTTCCCTGCTTTAAATAGCTTTGTATGAGCTTTGTGCACTAATGAACAGACGCTACTGAGCACTCTAGAAATGACTTGCTTCTTCCTCTCACTGTCCATAAAGCATCCTGTGTTAGAGCTCTCATTAAAAGGCAGAACGGAAATGCTAAACACACTCTAGATTCACAGATTTATTAATGAGCACTGTTACGATGATCTGTTTTCATCTTCTGTCACTGGCAAGTTTCACTGTGACTTTGCACATTGCAAAGAGCGTGGCCTTAGAAAAAAGAGCCTGACCACGTTGCGTCAATACTGGCAGTCTCCTCTCGTGTGGGCCCTGGCCCTGTGTGGACCCAGGTTTTGGTGAAGCCCTCTGTGCTGTGTCAAATCGAGTCTCTTGTTATTCTTACCCAAGATACAGGAAGAGTGCGTGAAGGGTCCATCACTGGAATACAGACCGTACGTGCCCAAGTAAGGAGAAACGACTTTCTGGATCAGGGATTCCAGTTTCAAATAATCTTCAGTCACACCTTTAGACTCGTGAACCCCCTGAAAGACAGAAAATAGCCAAGATGAGCACTGTCCCCTCCAACCACAAGCTTTCGCTGCTCACCCGGGCAAGCAAAGAGGCAGCAAGCATTTTCACTAAGTTATATAGCAAAGGTGCACCATGACATGATACTGGTTTGTTACTACAGCTGATTCCTCTTATTGTAAAGCTAAGAGATGTGAGTCGAACCGGAGAGACTCACCATGCAGGCACTGCACAAATGCTCAGAAAGAGGCAATAGCTACTTCCAGGACATTTAAATCCAGAAAGGTACATTCTGCTTAGTGCAAAGGCAGTCAGGGAGCATGGAGGATGCAGTCCATGAAGATGAATTAAAGACCAGCCGGGTTAGCTCAGTTGGTTAGAGCATGGTGCTAAAAACATCCCTGGACTTTTTGTTATTGCAATCTTACGCTGACTTCCTGAACGAACTGCTGCTGAGAGCTGCACCAGCGGCTGGTACCACAGGGTGTCACTGCCATCTAAGCAATACCAACAGGGTTACGAAAAAGGTGAAACTGAGACTCTCAAATATTTATTCCAGAATATTTGCAACAAGAAATATTTCTAGTGAAGAGGTTTGTATCTCTTTCCTCACCCCCTCCCTGGCACTTGCCATTATCCAGGCAAAAGTCACATTATAACTCACATGGTAAGATTCACCCATAGCCAAAATCTTTTGCCCTTAGCTGTTCACTCTGCACTTTCACCCACAAATGGGCTTATAAGGCCCCAGAGGTGACAGGAAAACCCTGTAGAGTTGTAGTCTCCCTTCCACTTACAGCTGCAGGGTGCCCATGCTCCTGTGTTGTCTGAGCAGAGCCCTGTATGCTCACGTGTAGGATTCCTCTTGCAACTCCAAGTAAATTCACATTTTAGTATGTTGCTATGTGGCCATATGTTTGACATATCCTGCTGCAGAATTAAGATCCCAAATGCCATACTCAGCAAGAAGTTTGCTTGAATTTAGCAGAATTCCAGATTTCATAGTATGCCCCTGAACTATTGTAAAAAGAAACACTTTGGGATGAAAGCCTCCAGAGAGCAATATTGCAGATCAAATGAGTAAAATTGCAACACTTCCTTCAGCATGTGGAAGGATCCTGATGTTCAGGATGTATTCACTGCTCAGTATGATTCACCAACCAGTGTCTACGGGTGACTATCAGCCTGCAACTTGTTTGTGAATGGCTTACTTCACCTCTTGGCTGCTGCACTGCCTGAATGCTGCCTGGCGTTACTTGATAGAAGTTTATGAATGGAAAATAAATCGTGGCCAACAGAGAATGCATACAATTTGGATTCCCATTCAGCAGGTTTTAAATAATGAATAACAATCTTTGGAGATATGCTATGGCCTGTAAAGCTTTAGGAAAGTCACAAATGCAAATATGAACGCAAGAGCACGTGCAGTGAATCTGAAAGCTTGCAAAGACTCAAGTAACAGCAGAATGAGCCCACAGACATTCAACCAATTAAAACCAGACAAAAATAACATAGGAATAATTCAGAAGACTTAGTGAAGGTGCACATATTATTTCAAAGTCATTGTTGGCCTGTATCAGAGAAAAATGTTTCAAATAACGGGAGGAAGGGTCTCAATTTTTATCGTGTTGAGATTTGCTCCAGGGTTTCCCCTCTTGCCTTGCTGGGATTTAGCCAAGGTCTTTTCAGCCCTCAGAAGGGCAACATGCCTGCTACCTCACTACATATTCACGATCGCATCAAGCTCATAACCCACTGGCAAAGGCCAGCACGTTAGGCCATCTGCTCCAGGCTCCCACTCCAATTACCTCTGGAACTGGTCTCCTAAATGGGATATATACTACTAGTGGCAAAAGCCAGTGATGTTTAGCATTGCTCATGCCCAGACTTTGTGGTAAGACTTTATTTACTTTTCTGCCATTTAAGTATTTTTGATATTCGTGAAGGAGGGTAGCTAAATATCAACTGTGGAGAATGAAACCCAGTAATTCACTAGTACCATGCTGGCAACAAAACAGCTCTTGCCACTAGCAGAACTGTGACACTGTACAAGTGACAGAAGTGTCCTCGTCCAGTGGCATCTTGATGCTGTCTGATTTCCTATCAGCCTTACCTGCCTGAAAAGTTCTTTTGGTTTCCCTCTTGGTTGTGAATAACCTGTTCTACTATACATTCCTCCTTCCCTGATGAACACCTCAAAAGCCCAAGCTGTATTCTGTGCTGACTTCTGTTCTGGCGGGGATACAAGGAGGCTTCCAGCAGCTCTCTTGCGTTGGGGTAGGCTCCTGGGGTGAGCAGAGAGGATGGAGACTGAATCCCCAAACTCCATCTGCTGCGACACCCCTCTACCACAGGGCCGGGGAGCAGCTGTGCTGGGGCACAGATTTGCCTTGTCCCTGCCACCACTGTGCCGCAGCTGCTGTGCCTGGAGAGCCCACCGGCTCACTGCTACCAAGAAATACCCTCTCTCAAAATCCCCCCTCCCTAACCACTTGCATCAGCTTCTTCAGTC